ACCAGCCATCCCTATATGGGATCCGAACCCGTGGCCTTGGTGTTATCAGCACCACACTCTCACGAGTGAGTCACGGGCCGGCCCAAATTACAGGTAGGTTCTGCAAACTCCACGGCTATCTTCGCAAATGCCTTTATACTGAAGCCAGGTAGACTCTCTACAGACTAAAATGAACTGATATTAACAGTTAGTGGTGATGTGGAATTAGTCCTGTTTCCTTCCACTTTTATGAATCACTTGGCAGAGTGTGCAGTTGAGCCTGGTGAGGGATAGTTACAAGAGGGGAGGAGATATAGCGCAATGGTTTTCTGGAGCTGGGACATCCAGGGCCTGAGGCTTACTTCTGTCACTCTTAGTTGCGTGAAACTTGGGGAAGTTACTTCTCTAAGCCTCAGGGTTCTCATCTGTAAAATGGGGATAACTGCAGACCTGACTTGGGCTTGTTTTGAGGGTTAAGTGAATTCATGCATGATAACTAGGAGCTATTTACCAGCCACCAGAATTGTCAGAAGATCAAATAATTGATTAAATAATTTCACTGATAAGAACTTCCTTTAGCCATATTCTGAGACTCTGCTCACCAGAAACACTCCACATACAAAAAACAGGATACGGAAAACACAATAACTACATTCAGCATACAAGTGCCTTCCAATATAAAAAAGACTGCCATTAGCGAACTTTGTAGTTAATACGAAAACACATGCCCAATTCAATAATCCTTTATTTGCAAAAGCTTTCATGGTTCTTAAAAGTGTTTAATATTTACTAATTGATTTTAACGTCAACCTTCTAATGAAGAATTTCTAAAACTAATGCACAGATTTTTTCAAAGTTCTCCAGTCGATCGGCGACAGATTTGTAATGGAATTCCCCAACCTTCGGTCTCTGCACACACTCTCCGACAATATGCTCCATCATATGGACATTTTTGAGAACCGTTTCCCTTTTCTTTCCAGAGAAAAGAATTAAGTGCCTTCAGGCAGTAAAGAAAGCAGAGCCTCAGGATCAGGTCCCAAGGGTGGGCCAGTCAGCCCAGCTTCTCATGTGAACTTGACCAAAGCAGTAAAACAAACTTTACCACGGAGAGAGGCAACTTTTATAATGTTTTCTGTTTGGAATGGGAACTAGATATTGGCCGGGATATGACACCAACTTTCGAGTGTGGGAATAACAGGATTTCAAGATTCACCAGCTTCTGGCAGGGTTCCTTATGTTATTTTTAGCAATCTTAAATTGCTATTTTTTTTTCTTCCATTTTCTTTCTTTTCTTTCTTTTTTTTAAGGAAAGAACAAGGGAGAAGAGCCCGGGTCCAAAGGAAGTGAGTGTCCCGACAGGCGGATCTTAAACCCCCAGGCCCCCAACCCTGCAGGCCCGGAAGGCTCGGAGTCTAGGCACACTGGGGGCGCTGCGTCGGCAGGCGCCGGCACCCACAAGTTCCCGTTCGCGTGCTGTGACGGCCCAGCCACACAAAGACCGCAAGTTCCCGGTCCGCCGCTCCAAACAGGCGGGGACCGAGTCTCCCCAAATTAGGCCCCCGCCCGGCCCGGAACACCGGCACCCGCCGCGGAGGGAGTCCCCAAGGTGCCCCCTCCGCGGTCCCGGGTCCTCCTAAAGCGCCCCCGCCGTGCTGGCGCCCCGAACC